AAACTTGCACTATAAACTAACTTCTCTAGAGCAAGGGGGAACATGGTGTACCTTATAGGTTACTGAACACTGGATACCAAGATAGCGTTCCTTTTTAACCACCACCAAAGAATTGAGTCGAGGGAATGATAATGAAAAGTACACCTAGCAGACTTTGGGGTACCCCAAAGGGGAGCTCGAAGGACTGAAAGCATTGGAGAGCCACCAACAGATGACGGGAGGTGAAGCGGATTGTCTGAACATGATCCAGCCACACAGATATGACCTTCTGTGATAAAATCTTACAAGTAGTATTTTATTCTTAAAACAAGGGCAAGAATTCAGCAGACCTTTTTCCCATAGTCCCGGATTAACACTAACAACCTAGTGTGTACTTCCTCACTGTCAAAAACTTGCCCCTTTTGGCAAGTTTTGAGTTGACGAAGTGTTCCCTATCGGGGTCGAAGTTAAAATCAGCGGTTAGTGAAGGTGAAAGAGGAAAGGAATCCTTAAAAGTAATCATAAAAAAGTGAATTGATCGTGTCAAGTGATGAGAACTTGTCACCGTTGTCATCGTGGAAAAACGATAAAGTGCCCTGGTAAAACTATCTCGTGTCTCTTTGACCACTTCCATTTACTTGACGAAATTCCGAACAAGCGCATTTTGGAGGACGTGAGCTCTCGATTGGATGGTGGTGGGTTGTGGCACTGTCGCTAGAGCACTGAATATCCCCGGGAGAAGAGAAGTATCTCCGCGTTTTGCTCAAAAAGGTTTAGAAGGTGGCAAAGGCAGATTCTTATGTTTGATTTGGCGGACAGAATCATAGGCTTCTGATAGCCTGTTTGACAAACCTTTTCGGTATTTTCGGGTCCGTTTACACCTTCCGCCTTTTCCTTAAACCACCGCACAAAGGCTTTTAATTACAAACAGAATGACGCAGGAGTTGTGGTACTGTATTATCTTTCTTATTTAAATATCACAGTGGTTGTTTTTTAACCATGTATCCTCCTTAACTTGCACATGCTTCACGTCACAAATACGTGACGTGTGTGGTAAATGTTTACATCAACCCTTGGTTGCAGAGGGTGAATTGCACCAACTTTGTTATTTTTAATGACAGCTGAAGGGGTCAAAAAGTTTTACATATTCGGGGACACCTGTGTCCTACTGGCCGAACAAATCGCGCATCCCTTCCTCTCTCCTCCTCTCCCCACCCCCTCCCCTCACATAAGACGCGTCTGCCAAATACGTCACCGATTAGCCGACACTTGACAGCAGAAATTAGGGTGCATCTTAATCTCTAAAATAAAATGTAGTTTCTTTACTGACCATGTCAAAAGCGTGGAGTTTCACAACTTTCTATCGCGGGACCACAAAGCGCGAAAGGTTTGGGTGAGCTCTCTTGCCTCCTTCAAGGCAAAGGAAATCTTTGGGGGTGTCCTGACATTTGGAGAAATGAGTGAGTTTCCCATTTATAGAAAAAGAATACATCTGCGAATTATCACCATGGTAATAGTAAGCCGATCGACTTAAGGGCTGCTTCCGCGTCACAAATAATCCCCGGGAAAATTTTTGGCAAAAAAAGGAGAGAAAAAGCTCAGGAATTGGGGTGCAATTTCTTATTTAAAGAAGCTTTCTTTGTGTAACAGAGTCTTAAATTTTAAAATGTGTATCAAGGCCATCGACGATTTGATCCACGGGGTTTGAAGGGATGCCGTGAGTCGAAAAAAAATGGGGGATTTTTAAAATCACCTCCTAACTGGCGTTTAGAAACGAATTTCTAAGGCCGTGTCCCCAAAATTGCTGAAATCACTCGCTAAAGAAAAAACAAAAGCCTCTCTTGTCAGCATCTACACCATGGAAGGCAATTTTTCAACTTTTCCGAACTCCGCAACACTTGTCCGCCTCTCCAGTGCATCTTATGAATGATGCAAAGTGCTCGGAGTGGAATTGTGCATCTATCAAAAAACCTTCCTCCCAAATTTCTTCCCCCCTCTGACGATTTTGCCTAACTTCCACCCCACCGGACCTGTACCGCTGCCAAAGACGACTACAAGTCGGTGTTACGAAATGCTGATTCAACACACCGTTAACTGGCGCCCTGTCTTTCTCTCTCAGCTCTGATCGTATTTCACTTTTATCCCCGTCTTTCTCCTCCTGCCAACTGTCTCCGAGGCTGAGATTTCGAATCAGTTGTTGCAGTCACGTCAGCGTGTGTGTGTGTCGTGCCCCATTTCGAGAGGGTTGCTCAGGTGGCAACAGTTGTTGCGTGACAGACGCAAGCAAGCCTCCACATAGAAATTAGTGAGGCAAAACAAGGAGCCATCATCTCGGTAACATGCTACTTTTTATCGCTGCAACACGCGCTATTACCCATTTCCAAGGCTCCCTCGTTCTCTCCCTCTCTCACTCGTGCTTTCGCCCTCCCTCGCCTCCTCCGTCTTTCTTCTCCCGCTCCATTAACGTCTAGAAATAGCTCACTGTGTGTATGTTTGTTCGCACCTTTCCTTCTCACTTGCCCGTTAAGAGCGAATGGATTTCTCCTTTCTTATAACAGGAAAAATGAAGGCCAATTTAAAAGTCTTCACATCCAGGACGGTGGGCGACGGAGGTGGAAGGGGAGGGGAAAAGATTAAAAAGAGGTTAAAAATCCCAGAGCCTATTCTCCTTTCAACTAGTAAATGGCTCATTTTGGACGACTGATTCCCTTCACCTGGTGTACCAGACGTGAGGTGTCCCTCAGCAGTGTGAGTGATCTCATTGGCCCACTGCACTGGATCTCGCCTCTTCCTTTGATTGGTGACACAGGAAATGCCAAACATTTCTGGTTCATTTAAATTATGCATCAAGTCATTCTGCACAAAAAAGGCGCGAAAGTGATTCGGTGTGATGACCTCTTTACTTTCGTCCACGCAAAATGTGACCATCACAAGAGTACACAGCCATAATGATGAAGGTGGATGCTTGAGGTTTACGTAAACTCTAATCAAATTTGGCGGTGCTTCTGTTGGCGGTTTTACAGCGACCTTGTTTAAATCACATTAGCTTCTGAGTCCGCGTACACACACACCTATACGAGAAGGTACAATGAACTTCCCATGGGGGAAAAATTAATGGTTGATAGGCTTTGGATGGAACGACAGATAATGGGGACCTCGCCTCACCTTCCTGGAAAAGATTCTCTCACTCGAAGGGTAGGCCTGAGATTTTTGTTCTCACCTAATGCAAAAGCAAGCTCTCCCTCCCCAAAATTTGCACAGTCCACGAACACTTGTCCAGTTTGCTGGTTCACCAGTTTGTCATGTCACCCGGTGAAGACGCTGTGACGGAGAACACACGGACATGTGGGGACGGGCGACATGTGTTTGCGTCTCACCATTAGCATATCTGGCTTGTCTTTCTTGTTGTTTGTTTTTTTTTTTCGGCGCGCACAAATTTAAATGCGATGACCAAGGCCGAGGAAAGACCCGTGCTCCTGAGTCAGCCAAACTAGACCAACCAGCACCACACACACAAAACAGCAACAGCAATAACAAAGACCGAGGTAATGCTGATTCATACGTATTTCCCATTTCTGTTTTTTCAGGTGGCAGTTTTCTCTAGTTATTTGCTTGTCAAAAAATACAAAGCAATCGATACCGATTGACACGAGGCTGAAGCACTTCCTGATCACCAGTGTGGCAGCATCTCAGAAAACCGGTATTCCCCAAGCAACGCTTCATGCTTTTTTTGATAAATTATTGTTTAAAAAGGTATTCAGCTGCCTTTTTTTATAAGAGAAAACTCACCAATTCATCTGCGTCTAAATGGGCAAAGTACAAAGGTGTGGAAACTAAACGCCATGCCAAGTACTTAAGAAATTCTTTTTAATGACCATTGTTGCGCGCCAACGGCCATCAAAAAGGGGGAAATCTAAAAGTACCTTCAGATGATCACTTAAATGCGAAGATTTTCCCTTTTTTCCCCTCTTAAATATCGACCTTCTATAAGGAGAAGTTTGTGGATGGACTTTTGGTGCGTGATATATCTCCTTACCTAATTCCAACCGAACTGATAATGCTTGGAGGTAGTAAAGAGGACTATTTACTACTCCGACAGTAGGGAATTACACCCTGTCGCTGGAAGGGCAAAAAGTGAACCGTGTAAATTAATCACCTATCGAAAAGGTGAGCTGACGGACAAAAAAGGTGGCCTCTGTTAAAGATATCGCTGTCTAGCGATATCTTGCAGACCAATACGTTAGAAAAAGTTTGAATGCCACGGCACCTCGGATCGACAGATCAAGGATCAGTCATCTGAATGCCAAATCAGAGCAAGGAGACAAATTTTATTTCATGGCTCAGGAAAGACGTTTACCTGATGGGTTGGAGAAACAAAAACTGTGGCATCAACGCGTCGGTATAGCCGAGGTGAGCCCCAGACCCTCCGCTCCGTTCGGCTACCCAATAAATGAAGTGCGGCTTGCTTCACTTGAACAATGGTGCCCACCAATATGTCATGCATGTGTCACTCCAGGCAATTTAGGGCAATTTGTCTAATCAAATATGTGGCATTCAAGGGTCACATTCTGTAATTCGTTCAAAAAGAGGCAAAAACCCACAAAGTGGACTTTTATTTTTTATGCAGGGAAGTTCCTACGTACATGAACTTTGATTATGGTGGCGGAGTCTGCACCATCGGTGTCAAAGTTGAGGAGTCCACGAGAAATTTTCGCCTTGAGGCCGCTTTTTACAACTTATTGACATAAAAGAGCTAACAAGTGGAAGGAGGTGTGAGGGGGAGGGAAAAACAATGCGATTTTATGAATCTCTTCTATACCGGTTAAGAACCCCTCCGGGTAACTTTTTGTTGATTTTTTTGTGGCACTTTTTTGGTGGATTTTCAACCTACGTGTTGGTATATTTTCAATCTTATGGTCAAAGGATCAAAAAAAAGAGGGACAAAATTCGTGCATGTTGTTCCCACATTGTGGGACAAAATGACCTATTGAACCTACCACTTGATGAATTGAATTTACTGGGGTGTAAAAAAGGGGTCTTTGAGTCATAATATGCCACAAAAGAGACAAAAACCGTAAAATTTCGTGAGGCCGTATTTTGTAAATCATGGGAATAAAAGTCGAAAAATTTTTTACTCGAAATAGCCGAGTGACGATGGAGGCAGGTGAGGGCTCACCCCCGCGCAGCCCCCTTCAGAATGCCGAAAACGAACTGCGGAGCATCCAAAAACCATACCTCTACCATTAAGCAAAGTGGAATGTGCCTTCAACCAGGTAGCGAACATGGTTGCTGGCGCAACCCCCTCTTTGTTTAAATAAGTCCCTCGTCCCCTCCCCCTCCCCTCATCTTTACAGGCCCGAAATGACTGGGTTTGAAAATCAACCAGAAAAGGGGACGGGGAAGATGCAGTGCGTGTGGACTTCGAAACAGCCATAATGCGTGTGAACCATCAGTTCGTTCACCTGCCGCCGCCTCCCAAATACTCGGCGCAAGTTGGGCATGAGAGTCGTGTACTGCTTGCTTCACCGTACTTCTGTGACCAAAAAAATAACACAAATTTGGTGGGGATTTTGTGCTTCTGCTCCCCTTTTCCCCACTGTCCTACCTCCTAAATACTTGATTATGAAACTCAAAGAGAAGTTTACATCTAATTCTTCCATTTTCCCCTCCCTTCTCCACGCCTCCACTGAAGAATTCGCAATTGGTATCATGTCACAATAGAACTTTCCACGACCGATGAGGTTTGTTGTTAAAACTCAGCATGTTTCATAAATAAATATGAAAAAGAAATGCTTAAACAGCTGTGGGCGAGCAGTGATTAATACCGCGCCATTCGGTAGGGGTAAGTGGCCTATCCTCTTTTTTAAGGATAGGAAACAACAAACTTGCACTTGTTTTTTCTTATCCTTAGGTTGTAACAGAGTTGCAAAAAAAGAAAGCAAGAATAGTTGGTTTTCACTAACATCATCCACTCGGACCTGATTGATTTAAACCTCAACATTCCCCCATCTGAGGGATAAAATCGCCGACTCAAAAAGTAGGAAAATTAGGGGGAAGGGGAAAGAGTCCAAAAAAAGACTTCTTTTTGTTAGAAGACAAAGGAACGTCTAAAACGAAAATGTAACTTTAGTAATCTCTAAATCCTGCAAAAAATATGAGCCTCTCAAACCGCCGTCTTATTCTCATTATTTACGAGTGAGCCAATACAAAATAATATTCGATATTCATATAAAGAACGATAATAATGGATGGAAAACATCAAGACGCACCAGACTAATCACCCTCCACAAACATTTGAGAAGAAATCCAGATGGGTTAGCCTTTAGGAAGTATGGTGTCCGCAGGTATCGATGGAGGGATGTCACTCTGATTAACAGTGATTATGTGATATTGCTAAATGGGATAGGCGAAGAAGTGGCGATAATAGGTGTTACCCCCTCTTGAACGTGAAATGCGGCAATGTGGTAATAATGGATACCACGGCGACACGACACGTTACCCTTTCGTCGTCTTCGCCAATTAACCAATCAGGTGTGCGGATTTACTGGCCAATCGGATGACACTACTGATCAACCCGTTTTGGGTTGAATCGTGTCGATTGAGCAGTGTGCGAGGGGCAGGGTGGAAATCGAGGCATCTAGATGTACCAGTTTGAAGGGTTGAACTGACTTGGTTTGCCAAAAATAAACCGAAAAAGAGAGGAATTCGGTGCATTGCTTTCCTTTCTGGAAAGTATCTAGCCAACGTTAGGTCACGTGCTGATGAGGGGAAAGAAGAGGCACATTAAATTAGCGAAAAATGGAGATGGGGATCTTGCCATCCCAAAGACTGATCGCCATCTGGTCACGTTTTACGCGGAGCTGAACACCAAGCAAAGGCCAGCGCAGTCAGGTGTGGGGGATAATTCTGTGGCTCCCTGCCATTGTCCCCAGTGATTTTATCAAATCTCGGAGATAGATTGAAAAATTTGGATGCTCCAATGTGATTTATACGAGAAAAACAAGACTAATCAGCACTTCTTTTGATACGCCGCAATAGGAAGAAACGAAAGATTTTTAACGGTCTAAAAAAGGAACATGTATTTTAGGGGTACCTATTAAATAAGTGGATATTTTTGGATTTTACACTTCCCATGACAACAATTTTTTGATGATTTTATTTAGCCTGAGGCGAAAAAAGGTACTGCCTTTTAATGTTTAATAAGACAGCAACACCTAGATCTATAAGATTATTCCAGGCACAACTCGACGAAAAAGTTCAAGAAATGGGGAGTTTTGGCAGCATCCTGAGTCTTTGCTGAAGTTTAAATGAGCTATAGTAGAGTGGGGGGACATACTACTCAATACCTAATGAGCAAAGGACTGGGCGCCAGCCTACTGGCATGACCCAAAAGCCAGGCCACAGAGGATATGTTCAACCCGTAGAGATCAGATTGTCCTCCACGCGGTTAAACACTCAAATCACTGCGCAAATCAAGGATCTTTGGCTAAAATATGGATTTGTCGTTGTGAACTCGAGCTCTCGTAAGAAGTGCCTCCCGTAGCTTTGCATAAACGAAACTGAAACAGGCCACTTAAACCGGTTTTTTGTGATATCCCTTGCTCCAGCGGATAATATTCCGTCTCCAATCTACTGGAACGTTGACTGCCTTCAATTTAACCAGGTGAGCCCTGTCACCGAAATGGGGAATTTAACAGCTTCATC